ACGGACGTTTAAAAAATACGCTTGTCGCTAGAAGGGGATCCCAAAACGTGTATTTCCGTTGAAATCTCGAAATCGATTTTCCGCAGCATTACATAACTTTCTCTATTTAATTTTTTTACTCCGTACATACGTATACGGGAAAGCAACAATTGAAAATGAAGAAAGTGATTAAGAAGGTTTTCCTTCGTGACCATGAAGATCGCTTGCACCATGGACCAGCGTGCTGCTCACACCGAAGCGACCGGCAGAGACGGCGCGAGGCGAGGAGAGGAGAGGAGAGGCGGGGTGAGGCGCGGCGCGGTCGCCGGCTGATGAAATTACGGAAGGCGCCACAGCACCTCGATCTTCCCCCAAGGCCCCGGCCCTCGAGCGCAAGGGGACGCAGCCCCTCGCCCGCCGCGATCGGACAGCGCCGGCAAGCAGAAGCGAATTATGTCAGCGGTCAAGGGGGCCCACCCCGAGGCAGACGCCCAAGCTGTAATGCCCGCTGTCGTCGCCGTTCTCTTTCCCGCGACCCCAACCCCCCATCGCCCCTGATGGATACATCAGTGCAGTGACGCATCTCGAAAATTGTTATTTTACGGGGAAATAGTTTAAACCTGAGCGGGTCCAGTTATTTCGCGGCCAAATTTTCTTGAGCAGCGACGACATCACCCTCAAAGAATATTTTTGACCCATCATTCCCATTGCGTTCACACCGCCCTGACCTTCTCTCAGCCCTGTACATTTAGCGCGCATTTACTGCCCGCGCCTCTGTTCTTACTCTGCCATTGCCAGCTCTTCGCACCCTCCTCTTTCCGCGGTTCGCGTGACCCTCTTACCGCAACCACATCCACTACGTTCATCAAGGCGCCCGCCTCCCCTCCCGCTCTTCGGCGCCGACGCACTGACTCACCTCCGCTAATGCGCTCACGCCTCCCTCGCGCCCGGATGGACGCTGTCAGCGCCGCAAACGCGCACTGCACAGAAGCGACAAGTCTCCGGCACAGCGTCGTGTCGCCGCGAATCTCTCGGCGGCGACTGACATGACGTCGCAGCTTTTTAAACTTGCGCTTGACGGCGCCAGGTTCGCTAAGTGTAATTGTTTTCCGCAGAGAGACGCGTTTGCTGGATTGAAAAGAGCGAGACTTATGGGATTCGAAAATGTTTGGCGTGTTCAGAGTTGTTCTGAAGAAATATTTGTTCCGTGTCTGCACTTAGGTTCGTCATGATTCAATATTAAGATGTCTAGAATCAAAACATTCCAGTCAATATTATTTCCAGCGATAACCGTTTATTTACTGGCTACTGTGACAAATGCATTGTATTGAGAACAGCTGGTTTTGATGAAATTTGATTACACCTCTTTAAGGACAACCTCTTATTCTCAATATTTTGAATACAGATTATTTGTGTCACTCCCTCGAAGCGTTTCATGAATGTGGACCCACGTTAGTTTTGATGAAAGTACATGCAACCCTATTGAGACAAAAAAAGAAAACATTGGGCAACATTGTATTTTTTTACTTTCCGTACACGTACGTAGTATAAAGAAAGTTATGTAATGCTGCGGAAAATTGATTTCGAAATTTCAACGGAAATACACATTTTGGGGTCCACAGATACCGAAAAAGTTTTTATTTTTTTCAAAAGCCCGTCCGTCTGGTTTCTATGAACACTACTAGAATCCAAACCATGAGTGAGATTTGTTTTTCAAATTCTAGAAACCCAGAACAATTTTTTATTTTTTCAAAAATTACACTGATGTGTTCTTGTTTTGTTTTTTTAAGATCTCTCACGCCGTTAATATGCACATTTTCTGCAATTTGTATACACTATGTTATTTGTGAGTTAAAGTACTTAAAATGACATTAAGTGAAGTTTTTGGAAAACTCAAAAATTTTCTGTGAAATATTCAAATGTCTAATTTACTGCAGCTTTTAAGCATCAGTTTCTTAAAAACGGCTCCAAATGTTGCAAAGAAAATTACCAATTAAGACGCGGTTTTACTGTTCTTTAATTTTCTTAAAATAAAAATGGCCATTCTACTGTTAGGAAACTGAAAAATTAAGAAAATTTTTTAAAATGAACTTTGGGCGGCGATAGATGGCAGCAGGCAAGAGTATGTGGCAAGTTCAGAAAGCTAAACAGACCAAAGAATATAGAAAAATAATACGAAAAAGTCTGTGTCATTCTGTAGCATCACCAGTTTTATATTTCTGTGGCTATTGATCTAAATAACAAATATATACATTGTATGATATGTTTAAAATAAATTCTTGGATTAATATTTTCCTGTTCAAGGAACCAACTTTGTTTGCCCACCTGAAAAACTGTAGAATGTCCAAGATAATTTGTCATTTTAGTTAATTTTAAGACGATAAGCTAACTTTTGTTCGTATCATTTGGTAAAATTGGAGTTCAGAATATAATTGTTTGGAGAGTAGTACTTTATTTTCCTGTTTCGTCAGACAACGGTAGTACTGTTATCAGGAAAGTACTACCAAGTTGACTTAGTCTTTTACATAGGTATTGAGAATGTTTGCTCTATTTGAATACAAAAATATTTCATCATATCAGTAATGAAGTACTACCAAAACGTCGGCGTGTTTAACGCTCTTGTCAGTCACAAACCAACTAATCCAACTAGCCTTAGCCTACCGTAGAACCTCGATAAGTCGAACTTCGAAAATTAGGAATTCGTTTATAACTATATATTTTCATTCCGTTTCCCCAAAACATTCAGAATTTGTAAACGCTAGATTTATTTCTTAGAGGTTTTCAATAACTCGAATTGTAGATTTCACGGTTGAGTGTAGCCCAGATCCCACATTGGCGGTGCGTCAGCGACTCTGAGGGTTCGAGGCCCGTCGGTGGCGGATTCTCGACCCTTCTTTACACAGAGGTCGAATTCAGCCGCTGACTGGAGGAGAATTCTGGCGGCAGGTATATCCCGTATTTTCATCGATAGGCATCAATGCCACGTGAAGGTCGGAACGGAAGTCTAACGAACGGGCCACGAACCGTGCGTTCTTTTCTTCTTCCCGTGTCAGTGTTTGCAACCGGTAACCATCGCCTCCCTTCTCATCGAGGTATTGATTCCTCTAATGTAGGTAGCATCTCTGCAAAGTCATGACTGGTACACGTTTCATCTCTTTGTGAACACACACAACAGTAAGTTTGCGGTCTGCTGGTGTTTCAGGATAATAACGTGGCATGTGTTCACAACTCGTGGTATTGAAGAACAGGTGTCCAGTAGTCTTTCCTTGCCCTCCTTTTTAAAGACCTCTTTTTCAAAATATTTGATGAGTGATTTTAGAGTAGCAAAACAGTAAATTAATTAGATGTAAATGGTGAATATTAGTAATAGTGAAAAAAAAGTTGGCTCTTAAAGGATGTTACAACTAGTGTTTTGTAGGTCTCGAATCTTATAAATAAACATGTTTTGTAATAACGTTGATACGTAACTAGTGACTATTACATCTGTCGTACGAATATATCTCTGTACCAATGTGAACTACGGTTGCACAAGTGACTAAAACTTAAATATCTTAGGTTTTTTGTTGGCGTGCTTAGTGTGAGAATATTTTTGTTTAATACACCGACAATTTTAAAGACATTTAAATGACGAAGCCCTTAAATGGTTAGTTAGCTTTGTACTATGTTTCGCTTATTTCCATTCATTTATTTACATATATCATTGTAACGTTTTCGATGACTTTGTATTGAGCAATATTTGTCCTACATTTTCCTAAATAACTGAATTAGTATAAAACTACTTATTCGTAACTAATTCTCATTATCGTATTTAGTCTTTAACTCACTATTAAAATCGCAAATACACTCATTTTTTTCAATAAAACACCTAAAGGTACTTTTATAATTAAATCATTTGCATTTTAACCCAAATCTTGGCAGCAGAGTATTCAACAGGCTTTGCTTCTTTTTACCACTTTCTATTATTATCTACTATTACGAGTATTTGTAGTACTCAGGTCAAATTAATGTGTTGCATTTCATAGGATATATTGCAATAAACGTAATCGGTTATGTAGTATTCTCTAGTTGAATATATAATATTCAGTTATAGTAAAGAAAGTGTATAGTTTTGTGTGAATGGCAAATTAACTTTCCGTTCTTTGAAGATTATCTTAATATGAGAATATGAAAAAATGTAAATGTTTGAAAAAAAAAATTTATTGTTTCTATAAAGAAAATGTAGTTACCGTTAATCGATCATTGAATGAAATTTTATTATAGTTCTAAAAATACAAATTTTGAAAGTAACCTTCATTTTATAAAAATGATTGTGAATAGAACTCGTATAAGACGTTTAGTAATGGTTATTTCATATATCTATCAATTAGTAAGATGCGTATCTACCATCAGCCATCAAATCTTTCCTCGTATTTGTTTCAAATCTCTATTTTTCAAGTTGTGTAAGTATTGCAACCCTTTACGAATAATGGAGAAAGAAAATTGTTTTTCTTTGGCAGTATTTTGTTTTCTTAATATTAAATAATGGCTAGGATCAGGGCCGACGAACATTATACAGAGTATATGGAGCACTTCTATACGGAAGCTTTTTCACAAATAGAAAATACTGTAATTTGCAAGATTCAGTCAGAACGTAAGTTCGTAGACTTAATAACCAATGAAAAGAAATAAAAAAAAAGATATTTACCACCAATGCGACAATTGAAATCTTATTGAAGATCTACAATCCTGCAAATTTGTCTACATTTATTCTCTCTTAAAATGCATAAAAATGGAGTAGAAGCTTTTCATATGAATCAGAAAATGAATAGTATTGTCAATGAACGAAAAGTAAAGCGATATATGCAATTACACAGTTTTTAAGATTAAGTTAAATTGTCGCCATTTACTATTAATAAAAATAGCATACTTAATAAAAATATTTATCAAGTTATCTTTCCTCCTTCGTATTTCCTCCACACAAACCAAATTAAACTTCCCCGGCCCTGGTGAGGATATTTTTGAAAGGGACGAAGAAATAGAAATAAAATAAAAGGTTTGATAAAATTGGGTGTTTTATTTCAATATTTTGTATGAAATGTATTTTAATGTATTGTATATAATTTAATTAGAAAATATCTTCAAAATTACAACGAATTTGGCAGAGTTATACCTTATAGAAAGTTTCCTCTTATTTTAGTTCTTAAGTATTAAATCTTCATGCGAGTATACATAAGCTCTCAGAGTTGTTAGTTACTCTGAGAGCAGATCAAAGTACACAACTTGGACAACATAACGTCACAGTCATCGCACGGACAATAGTTGTCCTTGCGGCTGTGATCACGGCGCGGAGTCAGAGTATTATTTGCTTTGTTAGGCTGCGGTGACTACAATCTACGGGAAAATCAGATAACAGATCAATAACACCTTATTAGATACATTAGTCCTACACGTTCCTTACACCATGTCGCCTTATGACATTTCTTGAAACAAATTTATGCGGTGGAACTAATCGACGAATACAATAATGCATCACACTTAACACCCCTATTATACTCATATTTACTATTCATTCCAGAGAATAATCACAATAATTAACTAGCATTCACATAAAATTAATATTATTTCATGTATTCTACTAACAAATATTTGACATTTAATTAATTTTTTGTAAATATGGACAGCATTATTTTTTAAATTTTAAAAACACACTAAAAAGAACTAATAGGCAGTTCAGTAACTAAAAATTTGAAAAAATGTTAATCTTGCGCGTTACATAGCTTTGGTGTCGAGAAGATGCCAAAATGCAACTTTATTTTCGTAGGCTGCAAATTATAACTCGGCATTCTAATAAAAAATTACTTTTTATTCGCATTTCTAATTGTATATATCTAGATATTCACTATTCTCAACAAACTAACCTCAACACATTTGTATGTCAACATGTATAATTCATTGCACAACAAATGGAGCAACGTATGCCAAAATGAACAATTCTGCCTAGTGCATACTACAGCATTGCAACACCGCAGATCAGCAGGATTTTCCATTTCTAGATTCTCGTACTACGTCACTAGTACACATAATAAAACATGAAGTTTGCGAGCACTCCACAGATATTCCTTACACCGAGCATGATGCATAATAACGAAACGAATTCTGAAATGCCATAAGATCCCTCAATAAAGTGTCTAGCAGACTTTCCCCGATCACATCTTGATGCTTGTTTAAAAAAAAATACAATTTTAATGATAAAAATGTTGTCTTTGAATAAGTCTTTTATGTCATTATCATTATACTCTTTTAGTTCGTAACAAAATTCTCGTCATATATTATCAAGTGCAGTACGTAGTGCTTTGTTAAAAATTACGCTATAAAAGTAAGCTCCAGTCGAAGTTGAAGGTTCTCGGCGAGATCACATAGTCCTCGCTGGCGAGCGAACTCAGCACCGAAGCGTCTTGGCGCTACGCGGCGCCTGGCGTCGCTCAGGGCAACAGTCTGTGGTAATGGATGGGCTTCTTGGACTTCTCGATGACGTAGAACGAGTGCGGCTTCCCGTTGCCCTGGAACAGCTTCTGGAACATGGTCTTCCTGCGCGGCGTGTAGTAGCTGATCTTGGACTTGGGCGCGTGGGACTTGCGGGAGAAGGCCGGCGCGTGCTGGCTCTCCTTGGCCTTGAGCACGTCGTTGGAGCTGGCGGCCGCCGCCGGGTCATCGTGGTGCTCGGTGAAGGGCGACGTCTTCTGGATGTGGTAGATCTTACTGTCGCCGTCCGACGTGCGTTTGGCGGCTCCGCCGTGTCGAGCGTGGCCCGCCTTCATCTTTTTCAGCACGGGCAGGTTCCAGTGGTAGACTCCTGTGGGTTTCCCGTTGCCGTGGAAGTGCAGCGCGGGCTTGCTGACGGCGTTGTGGCTGGGCTCCAGCGTCTTGGCCGGCTTGGCGTGCGCGTAGTAGTAGGGCGCCGGGGGCAGCTTGATCACCACCATGTGCGAGTCGTCGTGCGCGCCGCTGCTGCGCATCTCGGCCGCCAGCCGCTTGCGGTGGTGCGCCGGAGCTACCCGGCGACGCACCATGCCTAGGTTGGTCAGCAGCTCGTGGTTGGCCTTCTGCGGGCCGGGGCTAGGGCCGGGGCCTGGTGCGGCTACCGCCACAGCCGCGACCGCGCTCAGCCACAGCCACAGCAGAGCCGTCTTCCTGCAACATACGCCAAGGCACATTAGTAGGGCCTCTACACACAACATTATACATTTCAGATTCAATTCATTGTTCAGGCTGTCTAAATTGCTACAACAAACTCAAGTCATATTTTATGCTACATAACATAAAATTAAGTGTTGCTGAAAATATGAAAAGTCCGCCGATTCTAACCCTCATGAACTTAATTATTAACAAACAATTATATTGTAGATAACATTCAGAAACTGAAAATTAACCGTTGGTACCTTGCCTAAACACTATTAAATTTCAACACCCTTTAAATTGCATTCCAATATTTTTAGCGGGTATCAATGTTTAGCGGAAAACTTAATCAGCTAAATATGAACTTACAAGGCAAGGTAATTTTAATCAATACTTTCAATTTAATCAAAGCGTTTAAAAGGAAGTTATCATTATATGCAAGTCAACTTTGCATGTCAACTGAAAATTTTTGGCTGTTTAATAACCTCCAAGAAAGGCAACCTCATAATTTCAGATCATACAAAAGAAAAAAACGTATTTAAAATTAAAAAAACTGCATTTTAGAACAGATCCTCAGAATTAGCAAAACATGAAATTGTTTGCAAGGTTTTGATGTGACGCGAACAGTGCTTCGGAAAATCTGCACATCAAGTTGAGTTAGAGTGTAACAATGAAGCGTTGCAGCGTTTTTATTCAACCACGATACTGAAGATAAGAAGATAGATAAAAGAAAATATGTCTTCATTAAATGCGTTCTAAAACGTTGGATCTTTCAATAACGTTAAGTGCAATTTTTTTTTTCAAAAAATATTTTTTTTATTCTGTTGTATTAACCAATCGGGTTTCTTAACAAACATTCAGTAAATGTGTTAATATGCATTAAATGAAGAGAGAGTACATGCGTCATGTGGTTGTTTGGAAGCGAATGTAAATTCCAAGAATATGGTAGTCTTTCATGTCGGTTGTACTTTCCTCGCTATTATCCAATAGATTGATGGCTGAATGATTTGGATGTTTGTTTAACCGCTCTTGGTGAGGTGGTGAGCTATATGCTGGTGATCTTCATATATTATAGTATCTGTGACGGTCTCGCACGTGAGTGTTTCTTTCGTTACGTACCTACGGTGGCATTGGCTGTCTTCTAGATGCATTTTGATTCGAATCTTCTGATGATTTCAATGTTTGGACTTGCTCGCGGATTCCAGAGTTGAATTCCGTAGGCTCCAGATATGGCTGATTATGAATTGTAGAGGAGTACCTTTGTGTGGTCTAAAGAAAGGTTTGAGTGGCGGTGTGATAGCCATGATAATTGGAGAATCTAATTTGTGCTTCTTTCTTCTTTTCAGTTAATATGGTTCCTCATGTAAGCCGTTTTTCCATATGAAAATCTAGATATTTAATGCAAATAGTGTGCTAGTTAACATTTTTTAAGCTGTACTTTAGACACTCCTTTTTGGATAGGGAGATATGATATTTTTAGATTTGGAGGCATTTACTTGGAATCGCATCTTTGTATCCCATTGTTACAGTGGTTCAGATGCTTCTTGGAGAATTTGTGTGATTTGGAATGGTCTTCATGCACAGCCAAAATTGCTGTGTCGTCGCAAACGTTGCAGTGGTATCCTTTCATTTGTTTGGCAAATCATATGTGTATATAAGTTATAAACAGGAGCGCAGCACACTGCCTTGAGGACTCCTGAATTAAGGGTGGAAGGATGATATCTCTTGATATTTAATTTGGAAGTGTCGGTTAGATAGATATGACTTTCAATCAGTAGGTATACGCTGGGCAGCAGTAAGATTTATTTTATAAGCAGAAGTCCCTTCGTGCCATACTTGTCCGAAAGCCATGTTTGTATATCAGAAAACTACAGCTGCCAAAGAGCTGTTTCCTTTCGAGACTTGAGTAATAACTTCAACAACTCGGTGCGCGTTGTTCGAATTGTTGAGTGTTTTTCTCTAAATCGACTGGTGTTCTGGGATTATTCTTGGAGAAGAGGTTTTAAACGTTGGAGTAAGAGTTTTTCGAATACCTTTGAATAAGATTGGAAGCAGCTTATTGGCGATAAGATGATACATCGTTAGGTGGTTTTCCCTGTTTAGGTATCGCTATGATCTGTGCTATGTCCATTGTCCAGGGAAATGGTTGAGTCGAGAATCGCATTGAAGAGCAAGGTTGATAAATTTCAATAGCAGTCGTTTGATAATTCCTGCAAGACTTTGCCTGTATTTAGGTCGTAACCTGGGCTTTTGTTAGGATTTATTAAAACGCTGAATAGTTTTCTCTACTTCATTAGAAGAAACAGATTGCGTTGGAAAGTGATCATTTGACAAGGGAGCCATTAATTAATCGAAGTACTTCTTCCTCAATTATCATTGGTCCATGATTATAGTTCAAATACGGAAGAGAACGTGTTCCAGCAAATCGTTTCATTTTTCTCTATATGCCATTCTTCTTGCCCATGTTCCATCTTTCTTCCTTATTAGGTGGTATTTGAATTTTGTGGGCGTTTATTTTTCTTACTAAGCCCTCCAGACGAAAGTTTGTTGTTGCAGTTGCTGTAGTGACTGGACATATTTGTGGCAGCAGATGATTCATTCCTCTGAGTTGTTTCAATGAATTCCTTCAGCTGTCTGGAGGCTCTATTGAAGTTTGTTCTGTTTTCAGAGTGCCTAGTGTCATCCAAAATACGGTCGTAGCCGCCGTTTCTGCTCGTCTGTTTTCTCTTATGTTTATGGGAATTGTTGATTGCTTACTTTTAGAACAATTTGAGGCGTTGAGTCCCAAGCGTCATGTTGAATGGAGTTAGCAGATGTTTTTGGCTGTCTTTCGAATCTTCCGGTTAGCATGTGGCACATTAGCTAGTAGACTCTAGCTAATCATAGTAATTTCACGTAGAAATTTGTCGCGAGTCTGTGAGTTTGTTTTGTAGAGTTTTGGCGGTGGAGGGATTTTGTGACATCGTTCGGAGCTGACTGGTCAGTATTAACAGGGCATCGATACGGACGACATATATGATTTGGTTTCTATACGCAATTTTATCAACTAAATACCTTTAATTACTGTCAGAAGTTCTAGAAGTTCGATATTTTGTGTCTGTCAGTAGGCGCATACATGTAGGTTCTCGTCAGTGGACACTGTTGTAAGATATTTCTAAGACACACATGTGTAAAGGCGTCTACCTTTTGTGTATTTATGTCTTGATCCCAGTGCAATGTTTTGCATTGTAGTCTGCGCACCTACTAATTGAATCTTGTTCCGAATTGCTTGAAGAATTGTTCGCAACATTGCCTCTGAAATTTATTGCTTAGGTGGACAGTACACTGCAGTTACGGTTGATTGGGGCCCATAGATCTTGAATGTTGGACAGAGTTGCCTAGGTAATTTCAAATTGTATGCTTTTTGAGTTCATGATTGTTTGGATTTTCTTCCGTATAATAATTGGCAGTTCCGTCCCATGAGCAGTACCATCTGGATGTTGTGTGTTGTAGGTCAACATAGCCAGGGATTGAGAAATACGATTTTCTTGGTGAAATGGGTTTCGCTAATAACATAATGTCAATTTTATAATTCTGAACGGAATAAATTATTCTTGTTTGTGCTGTAGATTGCCATTTGCATTCCATGTTTGCTATGCTTATAATGCCACGATGGTTATACAATTCAGTTTAATTTTGAAATAAGAATCGTGAGCAGATTTAGCACTGAACTTATCGTTACTGCGCTGTTTAAGTAGTTTTCAAATCTGAAAATGATTCATGCTAATACATTTCGATTATCTACTGAATTGATGTTAAAGCCTTGGTATACGATCGAACATTTTTTATCTGGGCTTAGTATTACTTGCAAGGATCCCGACGGTCTATTTCGGCAGGAAGAGTTTAACCCTGGAAACTCTCCACAGATAGGGTGGTTTTGACATAGAATCTGCGTATGTTTTTTCCGTCGAAGTTTTTTTGTCGATCACTTGTTTGAGGTATGTAAATCTTTTGATATATTTCTTTTGTATAGCCTCCTGCACGCCTCTTCGTCAGTTTAGCTGTTCGGATGTCTCTCTCTTCGCCGCAAAAGTGGCACATGTGCTGTTGCTCTCCTGTTTATCCTTTTTTACACATTTCCCCGGTAAAGGTGTGACTTCATCCGCATTTCACACATCTAGGACCTCCTCGTTTGCATTGACGCACGACTGGATGATTGTACTTGTTGGCCATCTATAGCATATGCACTATTTCTTTCTTTTATACGGCCGGTTTCGAAACATTGACATTGCAATAGATTAATGTAGTATTTTGTAGATATCTGCGTTATTCCGCCGTGGGTTCTAGTTAGAAAAAGCATGTTTTGGTCTTTTGTCAATCTATGGCGAATGTTATGAATGTTCCTAACTTTGTGACCAAGTTCTCAAGTTCACTTTGAATACTCTCTGCGTTCAACAGAATGGGTTACGTGGCCTAGAGGACAACTGCGAAATTGCTTCTTTCTGTTTTTAGTTGGTACGTGTAGGTTAACATGTCTTTTTTTTTCATTTAGAATGTCTATAAACTGCTTCTGTAGCTTTCTATTGTCTCTGGGTTGACTTTTACTTCATTTGTTGTTTACATTTTTATACTGTAAATTTTTAATTTTGCTCCGATGGCTTCACGTAGTGACTCTCGTGAACGGTGCACTTTTACACATTAGAATAAATATAGGCGGAGGTTTTGTTGGAGCTGTATCTTCATTATAATCGTTTGCTCCCTGTGGCTCTTATTCCGTTGTTGTCGGAGTCTCGTTTATAATGCTTTGCAGTGCTTCAAAACCTGTTGCTTGTTTTATTTCCACTCGTATTTGGCGCTTGCTGTGGGGTTACTTATACCACCGCTGTCCGTTCGTTTACGCTTAGCAGAGCGAATAACTTGGCCATTCCGGTAGGAAGTAGAATTGCACCTGTACCCGCTGATTTGTTGACCGTGTCGATGGATATTACACTTTCTTCCGAGGAACGCGCTTTTAGCATTTCTGTGTCTTCTGCTGC